GGTCTCTCCCCTGATGGAACGAAGCTGGCCTGAAGTTGAGTCCTAGGATTCAGACCCAGAGTAGCTATCCAGCTTGGCCTCGTTTTGTGTGTGACAAAGCCCTGAGAGGTGCCCAGGGTCACAAGGAGAGGCAGTGGCAGAGCAGAGCCAGGAAGCAGGTCCCCCAGATCCCAAGGCAGTGCTGTGAGTTCAGGTGGCCAACATCCTGGCTGTCCCCTGGACCGTCCCAAGCAAGGTATCTCCACAGGACAACAGCTGCTACACATGTGCTTTGAGACAGTCCAGAAAGATTTTCCAAAAGGGAAGACTCCCCCCAACCTTCATATACCAAAACTCTTGAGTTTCCATGGTGACAGTCAAATTGCAAATCCATCCAAGAGTGAGCCAGGGAAAAAAAAAAAAAAAAAAGCTGGCCTATCCCCAGAGAAGTGAGCATGGCTGGCGCTGGGGCTGTCTGCTGCTGAGGATGAGAGCTGAGCAGAGTGGGGCAGCCCTTCTGGGGCATGATGGGAAAATCTCAGGGATGCCAGGTCCCCAGGCAAGTGGTCCAGGGGCCCAGGCCACTGTGGAGGGGGAGGCCCCCCTCCTCCCTGCCTCATGGCAGAGCCCAGGTAAATCCACTGGCGATGCCTCCATCTTGAGGAGGCTACCGGGACAGTCTTCTCTCTGGGGTTTTCCCATCTTCAATCTGAAAAATCAAGCGTGGGCAGAATACAAGCATTCATCGCGAGCCATCCCAGACTTAGCCTTTGGGGAATTAAAGGGAAAAATCAGCCTTCAGACACACACAGTGTTTTGTTGAGGATGGAAGACCAAGGGCCAAAAGATTTATGAGCCTAAAAGCTCTGTTAATAGACCTGGAAGATTTACGATCGCAGCTGCTGTGCAGGGAGAAAGGTGGCAACGGCAATCGAATGGCAAATTAGCCAAGGTTTGGGGTTTATGGTGACATTTGGAGGAGGAGGAAGAAGAAAAACTTCTTCCTCTGCTGCCGGAGGCATGGTTGTGTAAAGCGGCGTTTGCACTGGGCTGTGTCCAGGGACATTCTCAGCAGTGTCTTCTCCATGCGTTTCTTTCCCACTGACCATAGGTGCCAAGGCCGGGCGTGGACACTGCTGACTTCCTATCGTTTGTTTCTTTCGAGTGGCATTTATTAGAGTGGATTAGAAATGGAATTGGGTTTGCACCACAGAGCCCTCTAAGCTGAGGCCTGGCCCCAGCTTGAAATCCCAGACACAATGAGCAAGGATGCTTGGGCCAAGGGAGATGCGTCTGAAAGGAATGAGTGTTGTTGGCTGGCTGGTTCTCTGCTCTGTGACGCCTTTGTGAGCTCAGTTGTCATCTGGGGCTATTCCCTTCCATGGCTGTGGCCCTTTGGGGGTCTATAAAAGGAGACAAAGGACAAGCCAACTGACTGTAACTTGGGGAGGTTTTATTTTTTCTAAACCTTGCACAACATAGGCACCACGTGGGAACTAGGCAATCTGGCAACCAAACCCCACCTCCAGTGTTGATGCTTTGGACAAGACGTACTACTCACAACAAAAACTGCCCTGCCAATGTAGCATGGCACAGTCTTGTTGCAATTTAAGTCCACTCCCAACCCAACACTGGGACCCTGTACAACAGAGGACAGAACAGGGAGGAGGGTGAAGAAATGGGACAGCTGAGGTTGCCACCATACCCCGCGTCCTGGGACATCCTTTCTCAATCGTCTCCTTTTGAGCTCTTGGCTTTTTGCTTCCTTTGACATCTGCCCATTAGCGCTAAAGGATCCAGGCGTTATTTCAACACCGTGGAGCCCCATGCTGCCCCAGCCCCATGTTCCCCCTGCCCCAGAATTACAAAGAATCCTGCATATCAAGCGTGGGGGAGATAGAACATTCCAAGTCAGGAAGGATGAATAGATCATCTGTAAGCATCTCTGCCAGAGAGATGGGAAAACCAATGTGGGGATCAGTCACTGTGCTCTCCTCAGGGATTTCCCACTGCCTAACAGACTGCTGAACCCCCTCCCCCTCTCCCCACCTCACCCCCCTGCTGCTGGGGTTTGGGGAGGGCAGAATCCCTCCTGATTCCTTTGCAGCTGCCCCAGGAGAGACAAGGGGAGCTGCTTGCTGCCTCCCGCCCACCTCCCACCCGCTTTGTCCGGGGACCCACAGGGCTGGTGTTTAGTCAGTCAGCCAGTGAGTCAAAAATACGCAAATGCTTATAAAACTGATGCCCATGAGGTCCAGTCTTGGTGGATTCATGATCAAAGAAACCCAGTCCAGGACCAGAAAAGCAACTGCAAAGTAAGTCAGACCTTTACTTGCATTTCTCAAATACTATGAAGGGGGCAAATGGACACACACCCCCGTCCTCATCTCCTCTCGATTCTACATCACAGAAGCCCAAAAAGCCAACTGAGAACTCTTCCTTGAGAGCAGGGGAGGGAAAGGAACAAAGCAGAGAAAGGCAAAATCCTTGAGCAGAGGAAGGAAAAGCTGGGCACAATCACGTTAGCATCACTCTTGCCTTACCCACGGGGCTCAGGCTCTGCGGGAGAACCACACCAGCCTCGTTCACAGTGCGATTTGGCCCCTGCCCTCAGAAGCCTCAAGGTCTGCTAGGGGAAGCAGACACGTAAATGCTGCAAGCAGAAAGTGGCTGGTGTAGTTATAGCAGACTGCACAGAGTGGTCACCCAGCCAGGCACGGGCGATGGGGAGGTCTCCCTGGAGGAGGTGGTGCCCAAAAGGAGACAGGAGAAGAATGATAGGAGGCCATTCTGGGCAGAGGGAAGCCAGTCACTGTGGGAGGCGCTGACTTGGCAGGAGCTCCAAGCCATGTGGGGCTCCACGAGCCTGGGAGAGCAGGTTGTGTGGGATGAGGTTGGAGAAGTAGACAGAGGGCAGGAGCTTGCACTTGATCCTTAGGTTACAGGGAGCCTTTAAAGAAGGGTCAACTAGGATTTGTGTGTTAGCTGGAGCATCCCTGGCTGTGCAGAGACAGGTGCCTGCAGGTGGGGCCCAGGAGGAGGTTGTCACAGGAGTCCAGGCTGGAGACGATGAGGCCTTGAGTAAGCAAGAGCAGCGACCATGGTGAGGAGACCACTGATTTTGAGAACTGTTTAGGAGGTGAAAGTGGCAGGACGTGGGGATGAGGAAGAAGGAAGAGCCAATTAGTCATCAGAGCTTACAAAGCACCTACTGTGTGCCAGCCACTCTGCTATAAGGAAGCACAGGTTGGTTCTGTGACCTGAGACTCCCTTAGCTGAAAGGTAACACAGGCTGAAGGCACGAAGGCTTTCCAGAAGGCTCTAGATCCAGGTGGTAGCTACGTGGCACAGGCCCTGCCCTTTCCCCTGCTGTACGCACAGTGGGAGCCTTCTCTAACTGACCAGGCTCTACTTCCTGCTGGGCAGTCCCAGAATTCTCCTCTGCTCCAGAAGGGGCCTGGTGGGTCAGATGTAAGCTACTGGCCACCCTTGGTGTAGATTTTGTTTCCAATCTCATCTCTCACCAGACAGGTCCCTATGGCCCAGGATTGTTCGGCAGACTGAATGAGATAATGCTCACCAGGTGCCAAGCACAGTGCCCAGCAGAAAGCAGTCACCCCTCCTAACCCCGCTCGGTCCCCAGCATTTCGCATTCTCTGTGCAAAACGCACTTACTTCCCCGTCCGCTGAGTTGGTCACCTGTGGGAGCTGGTGCTGACCTGTGATCCCACACCTTTCTGTGCAGTGGTACTTGTTATTAAAACTACATCATTTAATTCAACATTATGTAAATTGATGAGCAGAGATGAGAAGACACAGAGTTGTTTCATTAAAACCAAGACTTGGGGAAGTCTTGATAGAAGCCACTTGCTTAAAAAAGCTATTGAATTAAGTGTGGGCCAGACAACTGTAAAAAACGGGAGAAAGAAATGGAAAAGAGAGGATTCTGCATACATCTGGCTCTGCCAGTGTCTTTATGCTCCTGCTCCGATTTAAAGACTCGAGATCTGGGAATCACAGACAATGCAATGTGGATGCTGTTTAGACACGAAAGACCATGTGGGCCTGATCTCAAAGAAGCCCCCAGGCCCTACATCAGAAGATTGGCGAATGGATGTACGTTTCTATGCCTAAAATTAAAATAGAATGTTTAACATATGAATATATCCCGTATTATGACTCCCACTGCTGATTAACCAGCCAAATATGGTCCCATTTAGTCCAGAAAAGAGGATTTCTACCACAGTGGGTGTTCACTATGAGGACTCCTCCTGGGATTCCAGCCCCATCAGCCTGGCTCCCTTCTGCATTCACAAGACCCCACTGCAAGTTACTGGACGAACTGGGATGAGAGCCCAGGCCTGCTGGCTCCCAGTTCAGTCCTTCAGTGGAAGCAGAATGGGGAGGAACACGGGCTGCGGAGCCAGCCTGCCAGGGTTAGACTCCCAGCTCCTCCACTGACTACCCTGGGCAAGTGCCTCGGTTTTCTCACCTATAAAATGGGGATAATGCTCTTTCCTATCTTACAGGTTGTTCTGAAGCTTCAGTGAACTAGCATATGTAAAGGGCCTGGGGCGTGCCGTCAGGGTCAGCGAGGACTGGAACTGTCATTATCACAGAGCCTTGCACCTTTAAGCGTTGCCAGGTGGAAGCCTCAGCGCAACTGTGCCTGCACCAAAGGGATTAATTGGTGTCTACCGTGGCAGGAAGCCTCTGATTCTGCCACAGGGAGGGGGTGATTGTGGAGATGGCTGGCTAGGGGGTGAGCCCTCTTTCCTGGAGCTGGTCCTGCTGGGCCCGAGTCCCAGCCTCCTCACACCAGGACTCACCTCTCTGACTGGCAGAAAGGAGTACCCTCCCGTCCCCGGGCCATTGTTTCCCATGCCCCAAACACAAGGGCCAACTGAGGTTCTGTGCCACTTTGTCCCGGTGGGAGGGAGGCCTGCCCTGGCTCCCTCTGCACATACCTGCTGGTGGTAGCTATAGGGGTGACCTCCTGTGCTGGTGTCTGTCTTTTCCAGTGGTTTCCAGTGACAGCGACAGCGACTCAGATCTCAGCTCCTCCAGCCTGGAGGACAGACTCCCGCCCACTGGGGTCAGAGACCCGAGAGGCAACAAACCCTGGGGGGAATCAGGTAAGTGTGGGAAGTATGCTGCTTGTTCCCAAAGCCCCAGGTGCAGAGTGGCTTTGCTGCACCTTGGGCTGCCGCTCCCCGCAAGTGTCTACGGAGTTGTTCTAGATCAGGGAGGAGAGGTGGGCCTGGGGCTGGGAGGAGGAGCTAAAGTCTTAGCACCACTGAAGAGCAGGGCAGAAAGAAGGCCCAGGTGTGTATGCAGGAGGGAAGGAGGACAGGTCCACCCAGCCTCCCCGCACCCTCTGCTTGCACACCTGGGATCCTCCCCACACTCTCTGCGAGCATCCCAGGTGAGATTTTGCCTCGTGAATGATGAGAGCTGTGAAAAGCAGATACAAAGTTCCCGGGCTAGCTCAGCTCCGCCTTGAAACTGCAGTGGGACCCTGAATATGCACCATGACCTCTTGGGCCTCTGGTTCCTTCTATTTAGCACAAATGGGATGGAGCAGGTGGTCTCCAAAGCTCCTTCTGAATTTAACATCTATGAGCTCTCCTCTGTGACCCTATCGTATAAGAGGGAATTAACTGGGGCCTTGAGGCTGGTGCAGAGATGGCCTGGGGGCCACATTTTCCTTTTCTTTAAGCAGATGAAGAGACTTCCCAGAAAAAGGACCAGCTTCATTCAGAGTTACTCCAGAGGTTAGAGGTGGGATATCTGAAAGACGTTTCAGGGAGGCTGATTTTAGTGCAAAAGAAAGCTTTATAATAACTCCCCCAAACTGGTATGAAATGCCGCAGGGTGCTGTCCTGGGACCAAGGCTGGGTGATCTCCTGCCAGAGCTGATATGGCAGGAATTCCTGCTGGCAGTTTGGGCTAGATCAGAGATGGTACATGCCTGGCACACGTACTTCCACCCCTAGTCCTGTGCCTGTGGCAGACATTACTAGTCGATCATGATACTCTTTCTGTGGCCTCAGAATCCTCCTCAGTGCCATTTTCCAAGTGGTCAGTATCAATAAATGGAGGTGACACGAGATGAAAACGGTCCCTGGACTAGATGGTCTCTTAGGCCCCTCAGGCCAAAGATTCTATCTTAGACAAGTGTAATGGAAGCTTGCCTGCCAGCCTTGCTTTCCTCCTTGGGAAGTCTTACACGCCCCTCCTTCCCCCGCCACCATAGCTCTGGTCCCCTCCCCTCACATCAGCTCTCAGCTATGACCAAGTGGGCCTAGGAGATGGGAAAGGTGGAGTGCAGTATCACAGGCCCCACCTCTGCTCTTCTGGCTGGGCAAGGACTAACAACCATATTTGAGTGAGGATTCTTTAGTTGGTAAAGGCAGCAATTAATAACCCCATTGGGTTCAGTGAAATATACACCCTTCCCCCCACATGCCCCTGCCTTCTATGAAGGCAGGAAAAAGTCCTCATTGCCAATTTTCATGTTGGTGACTTTACTTGTTCCTTAGTGAAATGACCTAAGGGCCCATTCAGTTGCCTCTATATATCTTGGACCAATTAGCAGTGGCCAGGGGTGGGATCACGCTAGAACATGGGGACCATGTTGAGACGGGGGTGGCAGTTCCCAGGGTGAGGGCTCTGGGCAGACAGTCCCGTAGATTCCCATCACAGATCCAAATGAGAAGACTTTATTTATTTTTTTTTTTAATTATAATTATTTATTTATTTATTTATTTTTCCCCCAAAGCCCCAGTAGATAGTTGTATGTCATAGTTGCACATCCTTCTAGTTGCTGTATGTGGGACTCGGCCTCAGCATGGCCGGAGAGGCGGTGCGTCCGTGCGCGCCCTGGATCTGAACCCCGGGCCGCCAGCAGCGGAGCACGTGCACTTAACCGCTAAGCCATGGGCCGGCCCTAAATGAGAAGACTTTAGATCAGCTCCTTGTCAGGCTGAGATCATCCCTGTCTCGTTCAAGGTCCAAAGGGCCCAGCACTGAGCCATCACCCCCACACGTGCTCTCTTGCAGGTAGCTGCGTGGAGTCACCCAAGATGGGGCTCACCCGCCCGCCCAGCCACCTCTCTGGGAGCCAGAGCAGCCTGGCCAGCGAGACCGGGATGGGCTCTGCAGACCTGCAGGGGGGCACCCCTCCCTGGCCGGACCCAAAGGGCCCTAGTGAGTACCAAGCCAGTCCTTCTAGTCCACCCGTCTCCTCTCCCTCTTCTGCTCCCCTGCCCCATGGCCCTCCTCCTCTCTCACTCAGTCCTCCACGGAGAGTGGTAGACAATGTTTTCAATTCTCTATGTTTACTGAGCACTGTGCCAGGCGCTGGGGGAACAGAGGTGAGCCAGACCCCTCCCCTGCTACAGTGACAGAGAGAGGAACCCAAAATAATAATGGTGACCATCCCTGCCCGTTCTCAGTAACTGTGACAGTGGGTGTTACCATCCTGGGTTTATAAAACGTGTAAAACGTTTGCCCATCTCCCTAACAGTCACAGTACCTCCCGTTTCGAGAGCACCCACCATGCACCAGGCAGTCCAGGCCTCACCAGGCCCCATCCTGTGCCCAGCCTGCGCTGGGTGCTGTGGGAGACAGTCCTTGACCTCCAGAAACCCACCACATAGCTGAGGAAGCCAAATCAACTCACCCAAAACAGCCCAGACAGCACAGGCCCACACTGGAGGAGAATTCCTGGAGCAGGGAGCATGGAACCCCGGCCTGCCCTTGGACCTCCAAGGTCAACTTTCATTCTATTGGAGGAGTAAGCGGCAAGCCTATTATCCCCATTTGATGGGTGTGGAAACTGAGGACAGGAATCCAAGCTCCCTCCCCGCCCTGTGCCTGCTGTCCCTGCCTGGCCATCCTGAGATCATCATGCGAGGCGGGGGTGGGATGGGGGTGGAGGTGGGGGGAGTCTCCTCATACTCAAGCCGGAGAAAACTACAAGTGCAAGTTTGGGCCTTAGTCTCCTTCAAGAAAGGCTTGGCGCCTCCGGGGCCAGAGGACCCACGGGCTGCACTGCGCATGTGTGGATCAGCGTAACTTCTGATCTCCCCTAGCTGCAGACGGCTCTTGCAGGACTCTGAGTGAGCTGGCAGCCACCCACCAGGAAATCTCGTGGGAGTTGTCGCCCACTCCTCATCCTCCCTCCTGCTCCCTCCCTTCTACCCCACCTCCTCCCCCTCCCCCTGCCTTGATGTTTCCAGAAAAGCTGCAGGGCGGAGCATGTAAGAGAGGCGGCAGCTGGGCAGGTCTCAGGGAGAGGGAGGCCTCTCCCCTCCCTCTGGCCTAAAATCCTTCACAGAGAACAGTTTGGGATCAAGCAGACCAGAGTTCTAGTCCCAACCCTGCCACCCATAGCCAGGTGAACTTGGGCAAACCATTAGGTTGAACCATATGGCACTGCATTTTCATAGATCAAAACTAGTCAAATATTGGGGCCGGCCCCGTGGCATGGGGTTAAGTGCTTGCGCGCCACTGCTGGCCGCCCAGGTTCGGATCCCGGGCGCGCACTGACGCACCGCTTGTCAGGCCGTGCTGTGGCGGCATCCCATATAAACTGGACGAAGATCAGCACGGATGTTAGCCCAGGGCCAGTCTTCCTCAGCAAAAGGAGGAGGATTGTCATGGACATTAGCTCAGGGCTGATCTTCCTCACAAAAAAAAAAAAAAAAAAACTAGTCAAATATTGTCAATTTGATATGATTCAACCTAATATTTCTCTGCACCCAGTTGCATTATCACTGAAGTGGGGACCACATCGTGTCCCTCACAGAGTTGTAGGGAGGGTAAAACACCGCATCCATGTGGAGGGCCTGCCCTAAGTAGGTCTTCAGGAAATGTCTGGTAATAAATGGGGGAGGCTGTGTGGCCCAGTGCACAGAAAGGGTTCCAGGGCTTAAACAACTTGAAAAGGATCGGCCTAGAGAAAGTTTTATATTCTCATGTCCATCTGCTCCTTCTGGCATCTTAAGATGACCTGTGTTGATTACCCCAGGTTTCGAAGGACACAGGGAAGCACAGGGAGTACATGACTTGCCTGCGATGACGCAGCGTGGCAGAGCGGAGCCGGGCCCAGAGGGCAGGTGCCCTGACCAGGGTGCCGGCCCCAGCCGTCCCGGGCAGCCCCTTGGTTAGTTTCAGACCGGGAAGCTGCCTCAGGTGTGGGGCTGTTCCATCAAGGAGCCCGCCTTCCCTGCCGTCACCTCCATTTCATTCCCAAAGGTCAAGCTGTCACCTGGGAGGGACTCTGCCTCTGCTCACCCTCTAAGTGGACTTTTTTTTTTTCTCTCCTCCAAAGGCAAAAGGCACACCTGGGCGAGTCCGCGCTGATGATGTGGCGCGGACGGTCCCCTCTGCCTGCTGTGGGCAGAGGTGTGTGTGGTGCCTGGAGCAGACTTGCCAGTGGAAGAGCTGGAGAGAGAGAGAGAAGCTGCAGCCAGACCCCTCCTGGCTCGTCCTGGAGCCCTCAGCTGGCCAGCTCTGGTGGACATGACCTCTGACTCAACAAACCAGTGTTTGGGGGGCTGAGTCTGCCTCCCCCCACCCAGTACCTTTCTGCACCCCTTCTCTCCTAGGAGCCCTCCTCTCCCCACCCCTAGCCATTCCACTCAGCCGTGACCTTAATTTATTGCCGTCCCCCTACCCCCACCCCCAGTCTACCCTGTGTTCATTTTAAGTTTGCACATGTCTTGGGTTGGACTGGAAGGGAAGACCCATCCTGTGGGGCTTTCTCATATGCACTGCAGTTTCAGAGGGGTGCCAGGTGGGTTTTCTCCATATTTGTATTAATGGAAGAAGAAATCCAACGCTGAGCATTACCCTTCAGAGCTGAACTTGTCCCCTAGAGGCAAGCGGTGGAGCCCGGAGCAAGTGGGGTGAGAGATTCCCCACCTTTTCCCTCTCCCTGCAGCTCCGCGGAGGAGCGAGCAGCATCCTCCTTTCACTCAGGACTGGCCCCGGAGCTGCTGTTGAAACCTGGCTCTTTGTTAGGTTGCTTAGAACCCCTCCATTGGCCTCCCCGGGTTTTGCTCAGCTTCTCCCCAGCTTGCGGAGCTGGGAGGGTCCTGGTGAATACTGTGAATTCATTCATTGAAGAGCAGCCTTCAGCTGAGTCCCCAGCTGGGGCACGTGGCTCCCCTAAGCCATTAATTCACTTCTCTTCAGTAGGTTTGGTTTGGCGTGAAAAATATTTAATTCAATTCAAAGTGCAGCCAAATGCCCCTGGAAGACCCTTCCCTGAAGAGAGAGAACGTGTGTTTGTGTGTGTGTGTGTGTGTGTGTGTTGGAGTCCACACCCTCCCATCATTCCTGCCCCTCCTCCCACTGCTCCCCGTGCCCCGTCCTTGAAGGGTCTCCTTCTCTCCAGTCTCCCAGGCCCCCACCATTAGCTTTTTTGCCCTTGCCACTGGCAGACGGTAAAGAAACTCACTGTTTCCCTGTGACAAGTTATGCTTCAGAATAAAAACAATAAAGATTAGAATTTGCATTGAGCCAGTGTGTTCATCCAAAGACCACAATCGCCTATGTTTCTGAGATACATCAATAGGAAAATGGATGGAAAAAATGTGGTGCACTGATTTCCTGGAACACTTCCTAGGCCGCAGTAAGAGGAATGAGCTAGATCTGTGTGTTAGAAGAGCTCACCAACCTAAGGTTGAATGGAAAATACAAGGCCATGTATATAAAAAAAATTTCAAGTATACATACAAATAATCAAAATGAGTTATATAAACATATGGACAAATGTGAAAATGTTTTTAAAATGCACAAGGACTTCTGGTTAAATATGGTGGACTGAAAACATTCGTATTTCCTCTGCCCTCCAAAACCCCACTAAAATGACATAAAGGAATGAAAATGGCATACATCACAAAGACAAAAAGACCAGGAGAGGAGATGGCAGCGGATGAGAGAGGTCTGAAAACTTTGGAAGATGGGAGAACATAACTTGTTTAGTACCAGTTTCCGCCAGTCCCTGAAATGTCTACAGGGAGAAAGCCAACCAGGAACACGCCGCCCGCTTGCCCTGCAGAATCCTCCAAATGCTCAGAACTTGGAGGGACCAGGTGTCCCTAAGGTGGAAGTTCAGGATGGATATGGAAATAGTATTGGTTGGAAGAAGTGGTTAGACCCCCAAGTGCCCTCTCCCAGCTCATACGGCCCTTCCTTGACCCTGGAAGAAGACAGGCCAAGGTTGAACTAGAAAGATTCTGGATGGGGGACCCGAGCCCAGCAAAAGCCTGGGTTGAGATGATGGTGAGTGGGGAGACCCTCAGCTCCGTTCTGCTAACAGCCAGGCCTTTTCCCCATCCACCAACCTTGTTGAATTTCCCTCTGGGAAACTGACCAAAGAGAAAAGATCGGCAGATCCTGACAGTGGGGCTTCCGCAGTCTCTGCCTGGTCACCACTATGAGGCCCCCCAGCCCATGAGTCCTGCCCACATGTACAGAGCTTCCTATTAGCTTTGGTGTGTTTCACTCAGAGACTCAGAGTGGGAACAGCCAAGGGCACCAACATTTGACCAAAACTAACAACTGAAAACACAGACTCCAATACACAGAAGAAAGGGGTCAGAGAGCAACCCTCTGAAGATATTGCACCCATGAAACGGGAAAAGAATGTAATTTTTTAAAAGGAAGTGTTAAAGCTCTTGAAAATTAAAAATATAATAGAACATTTCCTAGGGCTGAAGGAAATGAGCTTCTGCAGAGAAAGAACCCATCAAGTACCCAGCCCAGTGACATAAAACCACAGCTGTGCGGACCGCTGCCGCCATTGGATCAGCCGTGTGCCCACCTGTAGACGAAGATGCACACGGCCTGCAGCCACAGTGTACCACCCATCACCCGAGGTCCTGCTTCTCTCTCACTGGGTCTGGGCCAGGGCTGAGCATGTACGTCTAGCAAGCTCCCAGGTGATGCTGATGCTGCTGGCTGGAGGACCACACTTTGAGTAGCACTGGTCTAGGGCAGTGGTTGTCACCTGGGGAGCTTTACAAGCACTCATGCTGAACTCACTCCCAGTGATTCTGGTTTAATCAATTTTGGGCACAGCCTTGACATCAAGATTTTGTAAAGCTGCCCAGTGTGCTGCCAGAGCCGAGAACTGTTTCCCTACCGAAACTCATCTACATGGGCTCCAAATATTCTACAGAATATTTAGAGCAGTACCTTTTGATTAGCTAAAAATTGGAAACAACCCAAATACCATCAACAAAAGAATAGATACAAAAGTCATGATATATTCCAACAATGGAATATTGTGCAATGGTGAAAATGGGCGACCGCGCTCAACATAGATGAATCTCACAAACAAGGCTGAGCAAAGAAACAGATGGCAGAAAAATACACTATGACACCATCTATTTGGAGATTTTAAAACATGCAAAAATGTTATACATTAACATATATTTTATGCAGTGAAAGAATAAAGAAATGTATATGGAGGATAAACAACAGATTCCAGATATATCTTGGGAAGAAGCATGCAATTCAGGAGGGGTTTCAACTTTATGGGTAATGGTTATTAAGTTCAGTGATGGATAGATGGACTTGTAATATCTATATTTAATTATATATTATATTCGTATTATTTTTATATGTCTGAAATCTTTCAAAATAAAAAATTTAAGGAAACAAGGCTTCTTATCATGAAATTTCAGGACACCAGTATAAAAATCCTAAAGAAAAAAATCCTAGGGGCCGGCCCGGTGGTGCAAGCGATTAAGTGTGTGTGCGCGCACTCCGCTGCGGCAGCCCGGGGTTCACCAGTTCGGATCCTGGGCGCGCACTGATGCACTGCTTGGCAAGCCGTGCTGTGGCGGGGTCCCATATAAAGTGGAGGAAGATGGGCACGGATGTTAGCCCAGGGCCAGTCTTCCTCAGCAAAAAAAAGAGGAGGATTGGCAGATGTTAGCACAGTGCTGATCTCCTCACCAAAAAAAAAAAGAAAGAAAAAAATCCTAAAACTTTCAAAGAGAATAAAAAACAGGTCACACATCAAAGATCAGCAATTAAAATGGCACTGAAATTCTCAAAGCAGGTTTTGAAGCCAGAACACAGTAAAGCAGTATCTTCTGATTCTGACAGGAAATGATTTCTAGTCTAGATTTATATCCACCCAAATCTCAGTGACGGTAGAATGAAGATATTTTCAGACATATGAGGTTTTTTTTAATTTACCTCCTATACATTCTGTCTCAGGCAACTACTGGAGGATGTGCTCCAACCAAACAAGGGAGAAAACCAGGAAAGAGGATACTGGAGACCCAGGAAACTGCATATACTGACACAGGAGAGGTGCAAAGAGAATCCCCAGGATGATGGCGGTGGCTGTGTGAGGCCGAGGCCAGCCAGCTCAGATTGGAGCAGGAAGACAGAGGAGATATTCAAGAAAAACAAAGATAAGAAGCATATGTGTGTTGGAGAGATTGTATATGATATCATGATGTTTTATAATACAGCATGATACATAATATAATTTATAATGATATATAAAATTGAAAAATCAAGAAATAGAATCAGCATGAGATTTAGATACAAGGTGAACACCAGGAGAAGTGGCTAAGAGTCCTAAGGACTGCATAGGGAGGGACTTGGTTGGGGGCAGGGGATTGCTGCCCTATGTTATAAACTGTGTGGGACAGTTGCCCTTTTTAAACTGTACACTATACTACATTTCTAACAGTGAAATTTTTTTAATGGAAAAATACATATCAAACTCAGGATAAACCCATGGGGTGGGTGTGAGAGCCCTGAGGCCATAGGAGGTGAGTGAGTGAGGGAGGCCCTGAGGACCTGCCTGGCAGAGAAGATACAGCCCCGGAGGTCCCTAGATCCAAATATCCGGCTGTGAGGGGCTGTTGCCTCAGCCTCCCAGCTCTAAGCCACCTCTGTGCTGGGACCAGAGCCCCTTTGACCTCCCAGACCTGATGCTGCGCGAGCTCCCACGCTCGGCCCCACCAGACCCCTTGCCTGGACCAGGCCCGGTCCAGGAGAGAGACCAGTCCCTGCAGCCCCCAGAGTCGATTCCAAACACGTTTCCTAGAGATGCGTCACAGGGTCACCGGGGTTCTGAAGCAGTTTCATCTTGAGGTAATCCCGGAAGCCCTCAGCTTTAGGGCGGAGAGGGAATGCAGGTCCCCACGGCGCTCTGAGAACTGCCCCCGGAGTCAAGAGTTCTTTATGGGCTGGTCTAGGAACCAAGAAACTCTTTCTTTACAAAGATGCTTTCTGAGTCTCAAGCAACCAACTTACAAATTAACTTTTGGAACTGAGCCTTTCATGGTGGGGGGCGGAGAGTGTTCCGTGTCATCTGTAAAAATCGGGGAGTATAGAAATGACTTGATTTGTCCCAAATGCCGGCTAACCCAAGGAGGCCCTAAACGAGGCAGCAGGTGGAAAGCTCATGGACTTGAACACGCGGGTTCGAATCCCAGCTCCACTACTAAGTACCTGAAATTATGCATACCACTCTGTGCCTTAGCTTCCTCATCTGTAAAACGAGGATAATACTTCCTTCACAGGACGATTGTGGAAATTAACCACCTGAAATTGCCTGTAAAACTCCTGCCACTGCTCTTAGCTATGACTCCCACAGAATTCAGACGGGGCACCTGCCTCGGGAGTTGTTAGGTGACATAAGATGGTGAGTGCGGTGGTGCACGGCGCCTGGGGCACAGTCAGTGTTCACGCTCTTCCCTTTGGGGAATGATGATGCTCATCCACCGTCATTCATCCATCCGGCATTTACTGGGCAGCTGCCGGGGGCCAAGTGCAGTGTTAGAGGCTGAGGGTCAGTAGTGGCCGCTGCCCTCCTGCAGCACCAGATCACCCAGTGGGCTTGTTAAAGCAGGAGTCACTGGAC